TCTTGATGAAGTTAATTTTTTTGGTCAAGAGTTCTTCATTGCAGATTCTCAATGCCTGGTTTTCAAACTATGATGGGCAAACAAATGGATGAGGTCAACCTAATCCATGAAAACCTTGCCTGCCTCTGCATTTGTAGTCACTTCAATTTCTTAGAAGTGCCTTGCAAGCTATCCAGAAATATGATTCCCAGCATCCCATCATACTCCACATACAACAGTGGTTATGCTGACTTTCTAGCAAGCATAAAGAAGTTTGTTTTTGCTGGGTTCCTGGGCACACTGATGCTCAGGGTAAGCAGCATACAGTCTTCCAGAACTATTCCAGAGACTGATACTGATGGCAACAGCAATGGTCCAAGCCAGGGGATGACAAATTGTTTTTATTGCACCGCAGGCTTCTTGCCATCATGTTTCCATCAGATATAAAAGATTGCCCCTGCATGGATTCCATATGGAGAGGTGACCAGCACCCCTCTGCATTAACTGCTGGGCAGCTTAGCATTAACCATATATTAAGTCCTATCTGAGAGCATGTATAATTTTCTTTGGACATACAACGCCCTAACGTACCCATTTGAACTGACCTTGTTGAATGTCCCACCTTTAATGCCAACTGTGACTTTGATAGAAACTGCTTTAATTTTGCACCCACACTAACCCCTAGTGCCACTAACTGCAACCTCACCTTGCACTAACCCCTCTTTTTTGCATGCCCCTCCTTACCTGGAGTTTACCTGGAGAGAGTTCCGGGGGTCAACGCCCCCCGTGGCCCGGTCTGTGACCAGGCCTCATGGTGGATCAGAGCCTGATCAACCAGGCTTTTACTGCTGGCTGCATGGTGTTCATGATCTTCATACAGTTGAATTCATTATTATAGAAAATAGTAAATTAGTACCTTTCAAACTTTTTGTATATTATACAGTTCAGTTCCCAAGCCTTGATCAATATGAAGCTGTGCTTTTTTTCCCCAAGAATGAAATAATTGTAATTTACAAATAATCTCTCAGGATGTCAGCCACAGCACCATGTCTTCCTTTGCAGATGACACCCGAATCTGCATGACAGTGTCTTCCATTGCAGACACTGCAAGGCTCCAGGTGGACATCAACCAAATCTTTCAGTGGGCTGCAGAAAACAATATGAAGTTCAACGATGAGAAATTTCAATTACTCAGATATGGTAAACACGAGGAAATTAAATCTTCATCAGAGTACAAAACAAATTCTGGCCACAAAATTGAGCGAAACACCAACGTCAAAGACCTGGGAGTGATCATGTCGGAGGATCTCACCTTCAAGGACCATAACATTGTATCAATCGCATCTGCTAGAAAAATGACAGGATGGATAATGAGAACCTTCAAAACTAGGGAGGCCAAGCCCATGATGACACTCTTCAGGTCACTTGTTCTATCTAGGCTGGAATATTGCTGCACACTAACAGCACCTTTCAAGGCAGGTGAAATTGCTGACCTAGAAAATGTACAGAGAACCTTCACGGCGAGCATAACGGAGATAAAACACCTCAATTACTGGGAGCGCTTGAGGTTCCTAAACCTGTATTTCCTGGAATGCAGGCGGGAGAGATACATGATTATATACACCTGGAAAATCCTAGAGGGACTAGTACCGAACTTGCACACGAAAATCACTCACTACGAAAGCAAAAGACTTGGCAGACGATGCAACATCCCCCCAGTGAAAAGCAGGGGTGTCACTAGCACGTTAAGAGACCATACAATAAGTGTCAGGGGCCTCCCAACATACATAAGGGGGATTACCAACAGACCCCTGGCAGTCTTCAAGCTGGCACTGGACAAGCACCTAAAGTTGGTTCCTGACCAGCCGGGCTGTGGCTCGTACGTTGATTTGCGTGCAGCCAGCAGTAACAGCCTGGTTGATCAGGCTCTGATCCACCAGGAGGCCTGGTCACAGACCGGGCCGCGGGGGCGTTGACCCCCGGAACTCTCTTCAGGTAAACTCCAGGTAAACTCCAGATGAACCTCATGATGACGTATATTGGTACGTCATGGGCAATTGTCAAATCACAGCTGAGGCAAGAAAGGGGAGAAGGTCAGAAGACATTTAAATAAGGAGGGAGTAGGGGGTAGGGGGATTATTATTATTATAATCAAGGGGGAAGCGCTAAACCCAGAGGATTATACAGTGCCTGGGGGGGGGGAGGATGTGGAAGGCATTCAGGCTTAATTTGGGAAACTGGAGCACAGATCCAATTCCCTAAATCAAGAGCCCCTCACCAACATCAAGGAACCTTCCTTGAGGGGGGGTAGGGGAATAGTAGTAATATTAGAGTAGCAGTAGTAATGGTAGCAACAGTGGTGATAGTAGAAATAATGGTAGCAGCAGTGGTAGTAATGTGGTGGTAGTAGTAGTAGTAATAGTGGTGGTGGTAGTAGTAGTAGTAGTAGTGGTAGTAGTGGTGGTAGTAGTGGTAGTGATAAAAATAATGGTGTTGTAGTAGTTGTTGTAATGGTAGTACTAGTGATAAAAATAGTAGTGTAGTAGTAGTGAAATAATTGGTAATAATAGCGGTGGTATTATTATACAAGAGGAAAAAGAACAGAGCAGCACTGCAGGTCTACTCTCCCACGCCAGGCAGGACTAATGACAAGTCATGAGAGTAAATTACATCTCAAGGCGTAGAGGCTGAAGTATTTCAGCACTGACCCGTCAATATCAATGGTATATAATACTGACAAGATGATAAATTAGACAAATTGTGCAATATCTGGGTATCTTACTCATAAGCCAGATATTGAACTTGTCTAATTTATCACTAAGACTTGTTCCCACGGGGGCAGAGAATAACAAGTATGCTAAATGGCTTAAGCAAGAAAAGGAAAAGAAGCAAGAAAGATGGAAGTCAGAAGATTGAAAAAACAAAGGAAACAGAAAACAGGTCAAGAGGAAAGGAGAGGATACAAAGGTCAGGTCAAGTCACTTGAATTCTGAGCTAAGCCAAACTAAGATTCACGTTAGGAATGTGTATAAGGGCTGATTCAACACGATGACGACATCGTTGACGGCTAGCCTAAGGGTAGATAGCTTTAGCAGAAGACCAGTTAACAGAATGGTAGTGATTTCTAGCCTGATAGAAATGAGCATTGTTGGAGTAAGTAAGGCGAACACTTCGTTTGTGTTAAGTCTGTTAGATACCTGAGAACTCTAGAACTGCAGACACATTCATCACCTTCAAAACTACCATTAGAAAACATCTTATCTCCCTGATACACCCCGTCAACTAACTACACGAATACCACCTGGTGGTTCACACTTACACTCGCTCACTCATTTGACCATAAACAGAAATATTAATCTCAGTCTTAAAATAATGAATCCTGTGATACTCCAATACTGAAACTATATACTGTGCCAAAACAAAAGCATTCACATTGCTAAACTCATAAACTAGTATTTAGTCACCTAGCCATAATACCAACTTACCTCATAATTTGTAATATTTTACAATTAAGAATAAAACTAAGTATGCCCGAAATGCCTAGCCATGCTAAGCGTTCTAGTGGTACACTCTGTAATCACAATTTTACTACATGTAAACCAAACAATAACCAAATTTCTGTAAACCCAGCATTGTAATCCTTATAGAGAATAAACTTTGAATTTGAAAGGGAGCGGCCAGTTTCGCCAAAATATTGGAGAGGACATTATTATTATTATTATTATTATTAGTATGGGGTAGCGCAAAATCCGTAGGGATTATACAGAGCCTGTGGGGGGGGGGGGTAGATGGAAGGCATTTAGGCTCAGTTCAGGGAACTGGAGCAGATCCGTTTCCCCTCACTAGCGTCAAGGAACCTACCGTGAGGGGTTTGGAGAGGACAGAGCAGGAAATGAGGTAAACACTGGAAGAATCAATGGCAGTAGAGACAGGAACTAGATTACTATGAAGGGTATTCGTTTCACGAAAAACATCCTGTGTGTGGTAGTCAAAGGATTACTGAGGCACATAATGGTTTCCGGGAATAGGCCCCAATGTTATGGTAGCTAAGCAAGTTATATTGGTAATGAATTTTTTACAGGGTTATGATCCGTGATGAGATGTTTATGATCGTGATGAGATGTTTATGCAAATATGAAGTCAGCATAAACAAATCATTATGACTAACCAAATCATAAACTTGTAAATAATTACCACTGTAACTTGCTTAGCTACCATAACATTGGTGCCCACTTCTTGGACCCAGTATGTGCTTTTTGCAATCGTTTGCTTACCACCGACAGGGTGGGAATGAGCATTAGGTAGAGTATCCTCAGAAATATGTCACCCTAGGGGACGAGTAGCCTTAAACATAAGCCACTCCAAGGTGGAAGTAGCCTCAGTCATGAGCTACCCATTGCAGAGGGTGAGTAGTCTCATGAGTCACGGGGTAATCCTAGCCATGAGCCACTCCAAGGGGTGAGTAGCCGCACCCATGAGCCACTTCAAGGGGTGAGTAGCCTCAGCCACGAGCCACTCCATGGGGTGAGTAGCCTCAGCCATGAGCCACTCCATGGGGTGAGTAGCCTCAGCCACGAGCCGCTCCAAGGGGTGAGTAGCCTCAGCCATGAGCCACTCCATGAGGTGAGTAGCCTCAGCCATGAGCCACTCCATGGGGTGAGTAGCCTCAGCCATGAGCCACTCCATGGGGTGAGTAGCCTCAGCCACGAGCCGCTCCAAGGGGTGAGTAGCCTCAGCCATGAGCCACTCCATGAGGTGAGTAGCCTCAGCCATGAGCCACTCCATGGGGTGAGTAGCCTCACACATAACACTCTAGGGAGTGAGTAGGAGCGAAAGTGACGCATCGCTTTATTGATAAAGATAAGATATAGAAATCCTGAGATTGTATCCACACTTTGCATCAAACATACAAAGTTATATACAGTACTGTTAGGAAATCCACGTGTCTTGAAGAAAATGGAAAGTTATATATGTGAAGTTTGGCGATTTATTTTGGTCTCCCGCTAGAACCTAACTTTCTCATGTATAATAGGTTAGTGTACCGGGCGACGTCTTTCGGGGAGGATGTGAGCCACTGCTTTTAGTGTTACGGGACGGTATTATCATTTAAGGATATTCTGAAACATTGGTGTCCTCTTATCCCAATGTTATGGCAACTGCGATGATAACGTGTCTCCATGAATCATTCATTACTTCAGGTTCATATCTAAGAACGTGAATTATCTGTAAACGTGAACTTTAGCAGACTGAATATTTTCTCCTCTCTTCAAATAAATATTGAAAGGTTAGTTTTATGTGACATATTATTAAGACGTATCCTAGAATATTGTTGTATATATGACATGCATATATGACTCGTGTACTTAATAAGCGATAACTATCTATGCTGTAATAAATTTATTTTTGCCTGGAAACTGGACAAAGGCAACTTGGGTCTGTAAAAAATAATTTATACTGGAGGTAATGGATGCCGTTACTCCAAAATTTTCAATAACAGTACTGTTGAAGAACTTTTGAGTTGAAAGCCTTGACATTATTTACATTCTTTAATAATATTATACCGCCCAGTAATATGACTTTGTTTAATATGACATTGACTATTTAATAACGACATTGTGTAATAACATGATACTAACTGTTTAATAACGATCTTGTTTTAATAACATGACATTATTTAATGACATAACACTGAGCTGTTTAATAATAGTCAACTGGTGTTTACTTGGGTATGGGTCGCATCCTGGGACAAAACTGACATAATTTGCCCGAAATGCTCTGCATAACAAGCGGCTTTCTATATAGTAGTATATCATTGATATCAGCTAGTTTTTAGTTTAATATCTAATATGCGCCCCATACTCATCCTGTGGGATGTAGGCAAAGGAGTGTTGCCTCCCCAAATTACAAGGTTGTGAACTCCAGGCAGATCGGGTCACAATCATGACCAAGTTACAAAGGTAATGAATCAACATGTCTATACATGGTCACAATCATGAACAAATAAAGTAATGAGCAATTCACACGTATTATTGTTCTCAAATTGCTAACTGACAAGCCAAGATTGTAATTTACCCCCTCTTTGAAAGCATACAACTTAGCCAATTCAACAGTTCTATCATGCATCTGAAGACCAATGTGAGATGGAATCCACAGCTAAGATTCATTTTAAACATGTGTATGAGGGCTGATTTAGATTTTGATAAGCGAAACTTAACACAAACTGGATAGGAAAGCAGTTTGAGTGATATATAGAAGGAAATGAAAATCAGAAGGAAGGAGATAGGGAAAAGAGGGAGAGGAGGGTAGGAAGTAAGGATGGAATATGAAGGAGAAAGCGAGAGGAGCAGCATTAGGCAGTGCGGCACTTGCTGTGTAGAGTCGACAGATTTGAGAAACTGTTGTGTGCGCGTGTGTGCATATTTGTCTTTTATGTGTGAATAGGTGTGTGTCAAAGTATAGGTATTGGCTAATTTTAATGTATCGATATAGGCAAAAAATCTGATATTGTCTCAACCCTGTATGAATATATTTGTTACATGTTTATGTGCTCAAGCGTGTATCAGGGATTTCTCCTCCCCCCCCCCTCTATGAATGCCCGCTTACCTATTTAGCGTGCACAGTATGGACCTGGGAGGGTGCCAGTAATGTTGGCACCACACAACATTCTCCTGTATACACTAGTAGTTTTTCCGTATATTTGTTGGCATTGTGTTAAAATACAGTTAGTTTAATATGTTGATTATGCACCCCATACCCATCCTGTGGGCGGTAGTCAAAAGATTACAAAGGTGCATAATGGGATCAGGGAAAATACAGACAAGCTCTTTAGCACCATAGCCAGCTCTTGTGTGCACAGCCAGCGTCTTGTTTACAAATTTAGTCTTGCGCATAAGAACATAAGAACGAAGGAACACTGCAGAAGGCCTACTGGCCCATGCGAGGCAGGTCCAAGTCTCCCACCAGCTTAAGCCAATGCACCCAAACTAGTCAGGTCAGGTCACCTTGACTTAAGGGAGGAACACGGCAACCGACCTGAGCACAAGCTATCAGGTCCAACTCACACCCACCCACATCCACTCATGTATTTATACCAACTATTTTAAAGCTACACAACGTTCTGGCCTCTATAACTGTACTTGGGAGTTTGTTCCACTCATCCACAACTCTATTACCAAACCAGTACTTTCCTACATCCTTCCTGAATCTGAATTTTTCCAACTTAAAACCATTGCTGCGAGTCCTGTCCAGGCTAGATATTTTCAGCACACTATTTACATCCCCTTTATTTATTCCTGTCTTCCATTTATACACCTCAATCATATCCCCCCTAATTCTACGTCTTTCTAGAGAGTGCAGATTCAGGGCCCTTAGTCTATCCTCATAGGGAAGGTTTCTGATACATAGGATCAACTTTGTCATCCTCCTTTGTACATTTTCCAGAGCATTTATAACCATTCTGTAATACGGTGACCAAAACTGTGCAGCATAATCTAAATGAGGCCTAACCAAGGATACCTGGAGTTTACCTGGAGAGAGTTTCGGGGGTCAACGCCCCCGCGGCCCGGTCTGTGACCAGGCCTCCTGGTGGATCAGCGCCTGATCAACCAGGCTGTTGCTGCTGGCTGCACGCAAACCAACGTACGAGCCACAGCCCGGCTGATCAGGAACTGACTTTAGGTGCTTGTCCAGTGCCAGCTTGAAGACTGCCAGGGGTCTGTTGGTAATCCCCCTTATGTGTGCTGGGAGGCAGTTGAACAGTCTCGGGCCCCTGACACTTATTGTATGGTCTCTTAACGTGCTAGTGACACCCCTGCTTTTCATTGGGGGGATGGTGCATCGTCTGCCAAGTCTTTTGCTTTCGTAGTGAGTGATTTTCGTGTGCAAGTTCGGTACTAGTCCCTCTAGGATTTTCCAGGTGTATATAATCATGTATCTCTCCCTCCTGCGTTCAGGGAATACAGGTTTAAAAACCTCAAGCGCCCCCCAGTAATTGAGGTGTTTTTCTCCGTTATGCGCGCCGTGAAAGTTCTCTGTACATTTTCTAGGTCGGCAATTTCACCTGCCTTGAAAGGTGCTGTTAGAGTGCAGCAATTTTCCCACCCTAGATAGAAAAAAGTGACCTGAAGAGTGTCATCATGGGCTTGGCCCCCCTAGTTTTGAAGGTTCTCATTATCCATCCTGTCATTTTTCTAGCAGATGCGATTGATACAATGTTATGGTCCTTGAAGGTGAGTCCTCCGACATAATCACTCCCAGGTCTTTGACGTTGGTGTTTCGCTCTATTTCGTGGCCGGGAATTTGTTTTGTACTCTGATGAAGATTTAATTTCCTCATGTTTACCATATTGAGTAATTGAAATTTCTCATCGTTGAACTTCATATTGTTTTCTGCAGCCCACTGAAAGATTTGGTTGATGTCCGCCTGGAGCCTTGCAGTGTCTGCAATGGAAGACACTGTCATGCAGATTCGGGTGTCTCTGCAAAGGAAGACACGGTGCTGTGGCTGACATCCTTGTCTATGTCGGTTTATGAGGATGAGGAAAAGATGGGAGCTAGTACTGTGCTTGTGGAAAGAGCTTTTCACCGTAGCTGCCTCGGACTTTACTCTGTTGACGACTACTCTTGTGTTTGTTAGTGAGGAATTATAGATCCAATCGACCGACTTTTCCTGTTATTCCTTTAGCGCGCATTTTGTGCGCTATTACGCCATGGTCCACTTGTCGAAGGCTTTTGAAAAGTCTGTATATTTTAAACATCTGCATTTTTTTTGTCTTCTAGTGCATTTAGGACCTTGTCGTAGTGACCCAGTAGCTGAGACAGACAGGGCGACCTGTTCTAAACCCATGTTGCCCTGGGTTGTGTAACTGATGGGTTTCTAGATGGGTGGTGATCTTGCTTCTTAGGACCCTTTCAAAGATTTTTATGATATGGGATGTTAGTGCTATTGGTCTGTAGTTCTTTGCTGTTGCTTTACTGCCCCCTTTGTGGAGTGGGGCTATGTCTGTTGTTTTTAGTAAATGAGGGACGACCCCCCCGGGCCATGCTCCCTCTCCATAGGATGGAAAAGGCTCGTGATAGGGGCTTCTTGCAGTTCTTGATGAACACAGAGTTCCATGAGTCTGGCCCTGGGGCAGAGTGTTGAGTTGAAGAACAACCTGAGGACTCCTATTATTTATGCTTCTTGATATGAAGCCAAGGATTCTATTAGCTTTTTTGCGAACACTTATGCACTGTTGTCTTGGTTTCAGATTACTGCTAACCAGAACTCCTAAATCTTTTTCGCAATCCGTAATATTAAGATCTACATTATTTAGTTTATATGTGGCATGGTTATTGTCCTGTCCAACATTTAGAACTTTGCATTTGGTCTATATTAAACTGCATCTGCACCCTCTCCGACCACTGCATCAGTCTATTCAAATCTTCCTGGAGTGCTCTAATGTCCTCGTCAGAATGAATTGGACGGCCTATTTTGGTGTCATCTGCAAACTTGCTGATGTCGCTCTTTATGCCCTCATCTATGTCGTTTATGTATATTGTGAACAGCAGGGGGCCCAACACTGACCCTGTGGAACACGCTCGTGACGCTTCCCCACTCTGATTTCTCCCCATTTATGCAAACTCTCTGCTGCCTATTTGTCAACCATGCCTCTATCCAGGAAAAAATTTCTCCTCCTATTCCATGTGCCTTAATTTTCCTCAATAGTCTCTGATGTGGGACCTTGTCAAAAGCCTTACTGAAGTCCATATACACAATATCATATTCATTACCATGATCAACCTCCTCAAATACCTTAGTGAAAAAAGTTAATAAATTCGTAAGGCAGGAACGCGCCCTTTGTAAAACCATGCTGAGATTCGTTGATTAATTTATGCTTTTCAAGGTGGCTACGAACTGCCTCGGCAATTATTGATTCCATAAATTTTCCCACTATGGAGGTTAGGCTTATTGGTCTATAGTTCGAAGCTAAGGACCTGTCACCTGCTTTGAAAATAGGTATCACATTTGCCATTTTCCACTTATCTGGCACCATGCCAGTTTGTAGTGATATGTTGAAAAGATTAGCCAAAGGTTTGCTAAGCTCCTCTTTACATTCCTTTAGAACCCTTGCATACAGTTCATCAGGGCCTGGGGATTTGTTAGGTTTTAATTTATCTATTTGCCTAAGGACCCTGTCACTTGTGACTCTAATCGTGCACAGTTTATATCGTCCTGTTCCACATAATTTATCATTCTGGAATATCGCTGGTATCCTCCTGTTTTAAAAACTGAGAGGAAGTATGT